TAGGGCTTTGGATTCTACCCACTTCGTGACGTAGTCAACTACTACCAGGAGGAACTTCTTCTACACAACCACGGTGGGAAAGGGGCCGAGGATGTCCATTCCCCATTGGGCAAACGGTCATGGGCTGGCGATCAGTCTAAAAGGGGCTGCAGGAGGGTGATATAGATTAGAGTGATGTTGGCAACTATCGCACCTTCGGACTAGTTGGGCGGCATCCTACTTCATCATCGGCCAGAGATACCCCTATTGGAGCGCCTTATGGGCCTGTATGCGCGCATCGGCGTGATCTCCGCAAATGCCTTCATGTATTTCCCTATGGGCGTAGTCTACCTCGGCTGGGGAGAGGCACCTCCAGTAGGGTAGCGTGTGGGAATGGCGGTAGAGTTGACCCTGTATCAAACAATACCTAGTTGCTTTGTGTTGGAGTCTTCTTGCTTTTGTCCGATCTTTCGGGGAGGTGCCCTCTCGAAGATACTCGATTATGGGGTCCATGCAGGATGAGCCATGTTGCACTGGAAGGATGAGGACGACTGGTGGTGCAATGCTCGGCTGGGCTAGCGTGTCTAGCCGGATAGTTGAGTCGAGGTTGGATTGCGACGAGCTGGCGAGCTTTGAAAGGGCGTCAGCTTGAGCGTTCTCGGCCTGAGGGATCTGCTGGATGTCGAAGTGCTCAAGCCGCTGAATGAGCTCCTGCACCTTCTGTAGGTAGCTCGCCATAGAGGGAGTCCAGGTTTCGAATTGACCGTGGATCTGGTTGACTACAAGCTAAGAGTCGTCCAAGGCCTCGACCCGTTGTACCCCGAGGTCTAAAGCAAGGCGACGCCCAGCAATCAGGGCCTCAGACTCGAACTCATTGTTAGATGCCTTGAATTTGAATCTGAGGGCGTGTTCCAATACCACGTCGTTTGGGCCGAAGAAGATAAGGCCAGTGTCGGTACCCTACTTGTTCGATGAGCCATCAACGTGGAGGGTCCATGCTGGGGGAAGTGGGGTCGGTTCCTCCACGGTAAATGTACATTTCGCGATAAAATCTGCGAAGCCCTAGGCTTTGATCGTCGGCTGGGGTGCGTACATAATGTCGAATTCACTCAGTTCCACGCTCCATTTGACCAGGCGGCCGGACACTTCTAGTCTCTGTAGCACCTGCTTGAGGGGCTGGCTAGTGAGAACTCGGATGCTGTGGGCCTAGAAGTAGGGTCTGAGTTTCCTGGCCGCGGTGATGAGATTCAGAGCCAACTTCTCGAGATTGGAGTATCGGGTTTCTGCGCCATTGAGGACCTTGCTAGTATAATAGATCGTCTTCTGTACTCGGTCTTCTTCTTTAACTAACACCAAGCTGATGGACTCATCCCTGGCTGAAAGGTAGAGCAACAGCTCGTCTCCTGGGCTCGACTTAGTCAGGTGGGGCGGCGAGCTCACATTCTGCTTTAGTTCCTGGAAAGACTGCTCACATTCTGATGGTGCGCAGTCCGGCGGGTCCTAGCTGTCAAAGATCTTGCCTCGGGTTGGAGCAGAAGGTGCCTGAAACGAAGGGGAAAGAGAGTACGAGCTCGGCTTTGGTAGGTTGCAAGCAATGCAGGTAGGGGAGCGTGTAGGACCGTCGGTACAGCCGTTCGTCTATTATGACGTATTTGGCTGTCTGGCGCCACACCCTCTTGGCTGCATTGCGGGCCACAGGCAGGGTTCCATCTAGCAAGAAGCTCGCGAGTGGGTCGATCCAGCTCAGCTCTGCTTCAAGGACGGGAGCGACCTCCTCTGCCCCACCGAGAATGCTAGGCCGAGGTAAGTCCTCTCTGTACACGGTTCTCATGGTGTTGTGACTCGTTCTGGCTAACCGGGACAAGGCGTCAGCCTCAGTGTTCTCTGACCTCGGTATTTGCCTGATGAAGTGTGACTGGAAGTTGAGCAGCGCCTTCTTTACTTTTTCCAAATAGGCGATCATAGTCAGCTCGCGTGCTTCGTATTCGCCCGTAACCTGGTTGACCACAAGCTGGGAATCACTACAGATAACTATGCGTTTTGCTCTTACTTTTTGTGCTACGTTCAGTCCGGCTATCAGTGTCTCATACTTCGCCTCGTTGTTGGATGCCACGAACTCAAAGCGTAGTGCATATTCCAATTTCGTGTGACCTGGGCCGCGTAGCACTATTCTAGCCCCGCTGCCCTGTTGGTTCGAGGAGCCATCTACGTGAAGGATCCAGGGCTCCTCATCCCAGTTTGTGTTTGGCCTAACCAGGAGAGATGCCACACTGGCTGCTACTTCACGGGGTTCAGACTCTATTGGCTTGGGAGCTCTGTGCTCACCCGAACTGGGGAACTCGGGCTCAACCGGCCTGGGGACTTCGAGGCTGAACGTGCACTCGGCGATAAAATATGCTAAGGCTTGGGCCTTAATAGCAGTCCGTGGCTTATACTGGAGGTCGTACTCGCTGAGCTCGATGGCCCACTTCGTCAGCCGACCGGAAACCTCGGGCTTGAGTAAGACTTGCCTCAGAGGTTTGTCAGTCAAGACGATGACAGTGTGAGCCTAGAAATATGGGCGGAGTTTCCGAGCTGCAATTACCAGTTGGTATGCTAGCTTTTCCATCTGCGGGTATCTCGTCTCTGCTCCATGCAAAATTTTACTAACATAATAGACGGGTCGTTGGACCCGATCTACTTCTTTTATTAGTACCGAACTGGCCACCTCGTCGCTTGCCGAGAGGTACAGTTCCAAGTCCTCGCCCTCCTCGGGCCTGGTTAAGAGCGGCACACTAGCGAGGTAGTTTTTTAGCTCATCGAACGCGAGCTGGCAGTCTCGGGTTCATTCGATCCCTTTGCCTTTGATTGCTTTAAAGAAAGGCAAGCAGCAGTCTACTGATTTGGACATGAAGCGGCTCAGAGCGACTATGCGGCCGTTTAGCCTCTGAACCTCTTTTACTTTTCGGGGTAGTCTCATATCTAGGATGGCCTTTATCTTGTCCAGGTTGGCCTCAATACCGCGTCGGTTGACAATGTACCCTAGGAACTTACCTAAGGTGACACCGAAGACACACTTGTTTGGGTTCAGTTTCTTGCTAAATTGACGCAGAATTTGGAAGACAAAATCTAAGTCTTGTATTAATTCCTGTGAAAACTGCATCTTGATGACCATGTCGTCTACATAACATTCTATTTCCGTGCCAATTAAGGGCCGAAACAGCTTATTCACAAGTCTTTGGAAGGTCGCCCCAGCATTCTTCA